ATAATTAATTAGTTGAATTTTTTCGTAATCACACGTATTACAAAGAAGATTAAAGGTTTGCATGCTTTCAGTGATATTGTCAAGTAATGTACGCGTAGAATATCAATCGTTGATTAACTACAATTGCACATAGACAAGTTCTTAACGTTTAAAGATCGTAGTGCATCGTTTATCTCTAGTTATGGTAGCTAGCTATAATCTAGCATGTACTGTATTGTCGATTATTAATCGTTGATTAACTACTTGTACCACCGCACATAGGCAAGGTCTTCATTTTTATGATCGTTCGCGATGGTTTAGCCATGCAATGTGTTGACATGTATACTATCAATTTTGAACAGTACAGATGCTTATGTAAGAGTTAAGTGGCTGTTGTTAAAAAAAATCACGTCGTCATATTTCGAACAAGATGCAGAAAAACCGCAATCTAAAGTACAGTATGATCAATGTTACCATTGATACTTTATGTAATAATGACTGTAGTATACTTTGCAACTAGGTGATCCATTTTTTATGACTTGCGGAGATTTCAAAATTGAACTAAATAATTTAAAAGACAGCTTTTGATGATCGACCATGGTATAAAATTAATCGAATTACAGTACTGTACAAGTTTACAGTGAATCCAATCTCGATCACGAATGAACTTCCAGCAATTGATGGATGTCCTTCAATAAACTCCAAATTGGCGATAAATGTGACTAATAACACTGATATATATGTCACGGTCTACATATTCCACTACTGGAGAGCGGAAATTTCAACAGATTTTGCTTATTGTTACTGTCGCATCAACGTGAGAAGCGTAAATATATACATGGAAAAATAAAATTTGATCATTTTTCCAAAGGAATCGATTCCATACGGTATCAATTAGCGCATCGAATTCCTGCCATTTGTACAATGCGGGGCCCCCCGTAAAGAAGTCGAGAAAACCATTTACAAAAATTGATGTTTCCGTTGGTGTATGAAAGTAAACGCACCTACTAATGAATACATGTAGAGATAGTGCCAAACCCTCTCTGCTTACAAAAATCTCGTATTGGATCAACGATTACTGTACAATATGCAATCAAGATCTCCTCAAAAGGAGTTCAATAGTACCGTACATAAAACTCGATCTACTTGATAAGCTGATAGTTTAAATTGAAAAAGCAATTTAAGCTAGTATTAACAATGAAATTAACTTAAAAATATCATGATTAAATATTGGGTGCAATGAAGGAAAACGTGTAATCTACGTGTTTAATCAGCTTATGCTCCCCCCCCCCCCAAAAAAATGATATTTTCGTATTGTCAAAGCTTAGAAGCAACATGTTACTTACATTTTGCGCTAAACTTGTTTCTTGATTGTTATTCGTTGGATGATTGCTACCGCTGCTTACGGAAGTGACATTCGAGGTGTTGTTAGAGTTGTTACTATTAGGTCCATTGGATTTCTTCTTTTTTTTCGATAAATGGGGTGAACGCTTCTCTATCGTTCGCTCATAACTCTAAATTAAATCAAAGTCCACGGCAATGAGTCTATATCACCTAGATCGGTTCGTTGTAAAGAGGGGGTCTACAAGATACTTCTAAGAAAAATTTTTCATACGATAGTTCATGGCTGTAAGCTATCGTACATTCATTCCATGACAGTACTATTTGTAAGCGTGGAATTCATTATCAATTGAATGCTGCAGTTTATGTTTCATTTCTACGGTATGAACAAATTTGCTTGACACTCCAGTTAGAAATGTCAAGCTGCAATCTACTGTATACGGCAGCTTGGGCCATTCTGCGTTGATTATACTTTCAAATTGTGCACTTATTACAGGTTTATTAGCGTAAGAATCTGCGCTTAGAATACGTAACTTGCTGCTGCCTTCATTGCTTGTACATCACTACCATATCATCATTACACGGGTTATCCATTTTTTGGGGCAGCCGGTAAATACTAGTTCATAGTGTAGTAGATTGGAACAAAATATTTTCAATTTTTATCTACTCTACTGTATGATTGAAATGTTGCAACAGTTGCAGCTACTGTATAGACTTAGCATAACATCTTGTACGACAGTGGATAGTAAGTTGTAGAAAAAGTTCTAAACAGCGACAGCAATAACAGATTTCATTATCCTGTTTTATGTTGGTATTGACATTGAACAACATCAGCAATCTACACTTGCTGTACAACACTGGAGTAATAAATTATCCAAGTAATTGGTTTGATGTTCTAACTTACTCTTTCGCTGGGAGAATGATTCCTTCGTGTCAAATGATTGGCAGTAATACTAATGAGGATTGCAGATAAAATCACACTTTCGATAGACTATAAAGAAAGTTTGCAAAAAGAAAAAAGAGTCAACGCCAATCGAAGAACAAGTATGTCATTAGGCTACTGTCTTATTGCAATTGTCACATGCAACATGCTCGATCCTTGATGATCATCGTCGTCGTAGCAAGCTACTATTGACATGATCGTAGAATGGACGCACATGGGAAAAAAATTGACAACATACGAACAACAAATCGATTGTATTGATGCTATTGATGGTTATTTGAACGACAGCAATATTTACAAGATACGACAAACCTGAGCAATTAATGGTACCACCACACAACCAAAGACAGAACCAAAAACACAAAAAACCGAATACTGATCGAAAAAGCTCCTCTCTAACGGCATTTTTTCCTTTGCCCCCTTAACTTGATAACATCAATCAAGAAGAGTACATGATTATCAAAATGGTCCATGATTGTCAATAGCCACAGGGGATACAAGTGATGAGACAAAGCGTCTCTATTCGTTCTATTACTACGCTAAAATGGAAAGGATTACTCGATCCAATCCATGCTTACTACATACGTGTCTTCTTGCATAGAAATTCAATCTTCTTGCCAGGGATTGCAATCCAATTCTTCACAACCAATGGAACTAATACGCCAATGTCTAGGCTAAACACATTCAATATTTGCAATCAACAGCAATAACTACAAGTTAAGAATAATTTCCTTCTTTCTCTCCTTAGCAATGTCCCAATTTGGTACACGTTGATCAAATCTGAATTGATTCTCAGTTAGGGCGGCCGCTAATTGATGTTCTCGACTGTTTACTGTACGGTAGGACTGGTAACGACAGTAGTTAAGCAATACAATGCAATGTTTACCATAGATTGCTAATACTAGACAACGCGAGTAGACGATACATGCGCTGTAGTCGTAGAGTCTGGTAGGCAAGTGGTCCAACATGGTTATCCTAGGTAGAAGAATAGAAAAAGAGAAGAATGCTGCCATCATCATGTAATAAAAAATAATAAGGATTGTTATTATTCTTATCCCGATGAATAATTAGATATCATTATTATATCATCTCGTCTATTTTTACCAGGACATCGATGATTGTACAATATAGCCTAGAGACCCTTTAGTCTCTAACGGTCTCTAGGCTAGCCAACAGGCCATAGAGATACATTAAGCGTAAGTGAAAGAAAATGGATCGCATACAACTACAGTACATTTTCAGCTGCATCGCTGTTACTCCAAAAAAAAAAGAAAGTAGTCCCTGTATCGACAGGAGCACACCAAGATGTCGTGGGAGTGCTAGCGAGTACTTGGTGGTATACGGAGACGAGATAAATTTCTCTTGGTAGTCCCTGGTTACGACGACTTCCATCTCGTATCATCGTTCAGAGATCTTGATACAGGCGCATAATGAAACATTTTCTATAACATGCCACTCGATCGAGTTGGATGCAAATAGTTTTACAGCAGAAAATGCAATAAAGGAAATAATCACGCGAAGTCTCAATATCAAAGTGTTGTTTCTAAAGCTTACGCGAACACATAGTGTTACTCAAGTATTGAACAAACGGCTAGGAAAGTAACAAGTCAGCCTTGAGTCATGCCAACGTTGCAAGAAACTGAACGGATTAGTGCTGCAATGAAGGACAAGTACCCACACGAGAATCATGGACAGTCGCTCTCCAATATTGTTAAGTACATGCACAGTATTCAAAATTGAGACAGTACAGTAGAGTCAGGATCTCGAGAGGGAAATTTCCGATAGTCTTTACGAATTTTGAAAACGAATGCGTCATTGATTTTAATTTAGTAATGACGTAATAATTAATGCTCATGCAATCATAAATTTCGTTGTGCATGCACAGCATAGGAGTAGATAGCCTAGATGAATGGGTAGCCGACAATAGCCCCAAGCCCTTGCGAGCATCTAACTTGTAAATCGATCATTCAAGAACCCATCAAGTATTCAAGTGTATAATAGACTTTTTCGAACTACAACAGTCAATGGAGCTTTAGTATCTAGGATGTAGTCTCTAAAACACCAGCTGCAGTCAATTACAAATCGTAACAGTCAGCATTGCAAAAATACAGCAGGAAATATCCAACAGCGAATAGAATAGTCGACCGCCCTTTTATCTTCATAAATTTTATTCTTAAATGATCATACAATATCTTACCAAATACAGTACACTCATCTTCCTTGAATTGAGATCACATTCGTTAGAGTAACATAGAAAATTGGACAACAATATACCGTTTACAGCCCAATATACTTGCACTGAACTACAGTATTTTTAGAAATAACCATAATATTGAACGATAAAAAGATAACAATATACAAGCAGTTAAACCGATCGACCAAACTAAATAAACCCTAACCGTTAATCAATTATTTGTCGTCTAAGGAGCGTGTGGCATACTAATTGTCCAGATCATCTCTATTAAGGCACTGAATTATGTTCTTACTAAATGCAATATAATACAGCATCTTTCTATGTACCAATAAATTAATTGTACTTGACGTAAGGTAATGGTTTTTACCAGCAATCGAAATACACAAAAAAGTGGGGCGAAACTCATGAACTTTCCATTTGAAAATAATGGCTTTGATCCTAAGGTAATATCAATTTTAAAACATGTACTTGGCTATCATGTTCTATGAAATTCAAGTCGGAGTTGAACACCAGAACATCTATTCAAAACTTGCAGCAGGACTTCTAATCCATTCGCGCCTTTAGGATTTTTTCAGTTACCTTATCCTTTTCGCTAGATGTTCAATGGTTATAAATTGATACACATTAATAAAATCATATCTCCATTTTCAGCAAAGATACCCTCCTAAACTACAAATACTATAATAATATAGCCTACTTCATAAATATACAACATGCGTTTTTATAAATATCTGAGAGTACCAAAAATTTGAACACGCATTCAAATAGAATTGTACTATAACATAGCCTAAACTGTTATTTATATCAAGCATATGCCACAGGGTATCAATATCCATTTAAAAATGCAGAATTATACATAGTACTTTGAGGCTATGTCTGGAGTACCTAGCACAATTCTAAACCGAATACTGTAGAAACTACTACTTGTGTGAGGCACCTTTCCGCTCTAAATGCCTTGTATAAACCAACGACGTAATTCAACTATACTATCTCTTCAAACAGAAGCCGGTACGATGAACAATGTTATTCACTTCCAAATAAATCATTGTACATTTAATTAATGTAACTAGTATAACGTTTGCTCAAATACGCAGCGGTAAGAAGCTACTGTTTCAGAGATACGATAAAATCTTAGATAAAGATTATAGATGTATATATACTGGACAATGCAGTATGTCTACCATTTCCGTATACAGTCTCTAAAAATGGTCCAAACGAGGTATTTACACTTACATGACATAAACTATTCCACCCCATCCGCTAACACAATCACGATCGACCGCATTAAGTAGAGCTTGGGAAATTGATTCAAATAAATCATCTGCTTCCTAATAACGTAAGCATAAAAGTTTACATTAATACGCACTGCTAAACATCAGTAACTTTGCTCCTGGATTGCAACACCAACTAAACTCGTACAACTTACTAAGTCAGGTTCCCATAATGATTCACACATTCCATACAATTGTTCCGATGCGGTACCACTGACAACAAAATCTTCGGTAATCATAGGACAGCCAATTAAATCGAGTGATCCTACGAAAGGTTTTGCATTTTTATCCAAACCAGCAATAACAGGCTCTACGAAGTAAGGTCCAAACCTACAAAAGTATCAAATAAGCATGACTTACAGATATTCTCACTTGATATTAGCAATGCCGTAGCTTGTAAGAATATTCAATACACTATATACCCTTTGAGAATGACAAAAGCAGAATACAGTGTAACTGTGCATTATTACCTTTTTTCATACAAGAGACTTGAGACCAAGCTCATAAAGGTTTCCGGCTTCATTTCTCGATTTTCACGTAGCATATACATATTTAATCTAAATTTTAACTTATTGGATCTAAAATACAGCAAAAATATCGGACGGTTACAACAGCTCCAAAGTGCACCCGCTTGTAATAAAATGAGTTGCATCATAATGAATCAGCAAAAATTTTGGATGGAATAATTTACTCCGAAACTAGCACTTTTTCGCCATGATGACTAAAAAATTGTTATTATCAAGTCTACTGGAACACACAATCTATAAATATATGCGATTGGAGTGCATGACGACTGATGTCGTGTAGTGTATATCAGGTGCTAACTACAACATTAGCACGAGTGATTCGATGCGTGTACCGTAGGTATCAACTTACACAGTAGTAACATCTGTAGCTAAACCAGAAAAACCAATATAAAGATGATCGCTCATTCCATAGATCCTTTGAAATTCATGTCCTATAGTCTGGGCTTGTATACCAAATCTTCTATCGGCCGCGATGGCAACACAATTTTTTCCAGTCATGGCGCAAATTGCAGAGCCATTGTATTCGAATATAGACTATACCGTAATTAATGCAGAAATTTTAAGTCAAATTTTCAATCAGTAATGCGAAACTATGTTCTAATCATGCCTTTTGAATATCAAGGTGTACTTTCGTCGCACGCTGTAATAAAACGATAGCGAGCAATCGCTAGCAAGCAGTACCGCGCGCGAAGAGACCGAGATATCATTCATTTGTACATGTAATCTTTATAATACAACATTGCTAAAAGTCTACTGTACGCGTACAGCAGACAATGACTTTTTGATTTTATTACTAAATAAATTGGCTACATAACTAATCGTTTATACAGCTGTAGTTATAATTTTACTGTAATTCATCAGACAACATTGTGGATCCAAAATTCGCAATTCTATACGAACTGTACACTGTCTAAGAAGAAGTAGCAACGGAGTACTAGTAACAGTGCGTATCTATTACTATTTTCGATTATCATTGTAGCTTAGGGGAATGCTGCAAGGCGGATTTAGGATCATCAATGATGATAAAGTCAATCTATGCTGTGTATTTCAAGCCTAAAGTATCGATTGCAGACGTACTTTAACCCAGTACTGTACTACAGTTTTAAAAAGAAGGATGCAGTCATTCACTAGATGAGCTATACCACTACTAGAGAATGGATAGAATAGTTAAGTCATAGGATAATTCATATTGTACATTACTTCAAGTCCTTCGCTAATCACATAAAGTGGTCATTACTTCATACTTGGCAAGTGGACAATAGTACAATATAATAAGGGAATAGTTCATATTGAAAAACGTCTATATAGTAGTTAGTTTCGAGCGCAAGTAGTCATTCGAGAATGACGGTAGTACATTGCCAACTTTTACAGCTATTTTGTATACGATCGTTGATGATAATTGAACCCAATTTGGGGAAGCAATAACTTTGGAAATTGGCCTAATTTATCGTTATCCTTACCATTTTTAGCTTTAATATTTGTATAATGAGCCCTACAGAATGGGATTCTCCTTAATTTTACAATTGATTCCTTCGGATGGCCAGTAGAGAACCTGGATATATTGGTGGATGTCTTTCAGCTCGACAATTAGTCAGCAACTCCTTTACAGTCGATTGCTTTTATGAGATGAAATGTCTGGATAATGTGCAGTCCAGTACGGAGGCTTCAGCAGTTGTCTCCCTATAGCAAGAATACTGTAGTATGGTAACCTATCAAACTGTCGAGACGCTGGAAGAGTCTGTACGTCTGTAGTCTGATGCTTCGTTGGTCTTTTCTTTGTGTACAGTGTACAGTACGCGTACAAGTGGTTGTTCCCAGTATTGTACTGTACTGTACACTGTACAGTACAGTACACTGTCTCCATGATTCCGTCATTCCGTCATTCGCTCTTTGTTTCACTTTTTGCGAGAGTCTGTATGTCTGTACGTCTGTAGTCTGGTGCTCCCGTTGATCTTTTCTTTTTGTACAGTACGCTTGCAAGTGGTTGTTCCCAGTACTGTACACTGTACACTGTACACTATCTCCATGATTCGTCGTCATTCGCTCTTTGTTTCACTTTTTGCGAGAGTCTTGCGTCTGTACGTCTGTATTCTGATGCATCCATTGGTCTTTTCTTTCTGTACAGTACAGTGTACAGTACGCGTACAAGTGGTTGTTCCCAGTACTGTACACTGTACACTATCTCCATGATTCGTCCGTCATTCGCTCTTTGTTTCACTTTTTGTGAGAGTCTGTACGTCTGTATGTCTGTACGTCTGTAGTCTGGTGCTTCGTTGGTCTTTTCTTTCTGTACAGTACGCATGCAAGTGGTTGTTCCCAGTACTGTACACTGTACACTATCTCCATGATTCGTCCGTCATTGAGTGACTAGACCTGACGTCATTCGCTCTTTGTTTCACTTTTTGTGAGAGTCCATACGTCTGTACGTCTGTAGTCTGGTGCTTCGTTGGTCTTTTCTTTCTGTACAGTACAGTACGCATGCAAGTGGTTGTTCCCAGTACTGTACACTGTACACTATCTCCATGATTTGTCCTCATTCGCTCTTTGTTTCACTTTTTCAGAAATGACTCAGTCATGGTTCAATACGTTGGACATTTTCTCTTAGTATTCTGTCTCGTGAGTTGCACCAAATGCGCTACAGTACTGTACAAGTGTACAGTACCAATCCGTACTTTTCCCTTTACAGTACAGTACTGTACAATATTGTACTGTAAAATCGCCTTCAATCCACATTCCACATGAAGCCTTTCACTAGTAATAATAATAATAATAATAATAATATTTTTACTGCTGGAGTGATACCAGTATATACAGTATACTGTACTGTACAGTATGTCAGATACAGTATGTAGAGTATAGTAATATAAGCGTCTAAAAAAAATAACTGTACTTAGTAAGTAGGCAATCGACCCAAGGTCCAAACACCCTTGAATTCGAGATTCACAAAGTTTATTTTATTAATAATTATAAATTACCATTGGATTGCTCATCTTCTTGCAATAACCAAATAAATGAACGTTAACCACATTAGGAAGTTGTATCAATTACGATATCGAAATTGAATATTGCCAATAAATCACTCCGATAAAATCAAATAATCGATATTGTTGATACAGTACAGAATTGTAACTGGTCCCGCGATTATGATGCGCAGTATATCTGACATCTCCATATTTCATCATTGACTTATTTGTTGAGGTTAGCTTTTGCTGTAAGTGCATCCATGTTCGGTCCAATAATTAATTGATATTGTATATGGTAAGGCAATATTCAGCCTTGAATGTTAAAGCTATATCAATGAGTATGGAAACGAGCCAATCATAGGTGGAGTCAAGTGTGACAGAGAGTCCGTTTCTAACCCAGCTTAACAACTCCCTTCGGTCGAATAATTACAAAGTATGTGTTGGGAATTTTCAACTCAAGTCATCAAAGGAAATTGATCTCAGCTTTTTTTCTGTTAAACTAGAAATCTGCCAGATACAAGTCACAAAATTTATAAAATCAAACCTGACTTTGCCTGACAGCACGCACCAACGCTCACCAGAGTCAGCGGGCTCAACCTAGTACTATACTGTACATTAAAATTACAATCAATTTTCTTGCAGTTAGTCATGGTCGAGCTAAAGCTTTCACTACGCCTTCAATAAAATATCGTAGTGTGAAAGCCCTGACTGCCAGTATTTTAAAATAATAATAACTTGTAATCTTGTCAATTATGGGCGAGTTGAAAATTTCACTACGCTTTCGTACACAAATATTATAGCACTATTACTATATAAGACAGTCAAAGTCTTCATTGTCAATCTATTTTGGAAGGAAATCAATATCACATTTACAATGATTTCACCTTTGCAACCTAATCTACAAGACTGTACATCTATCGCATATAGACTACTACGGTCAATCAAAATTGGGTTAGTGGTAGCTAAGCCGACTAACTATACGTAATATACTAGTAGGACGATATCCTTTCGTGATATATCGTATTAAATTAATGTATTATTAGGATATACCGTCAATTTTTAAATACAATTTAATCCACAATCTGCTCAATTTCTGAAAGCACAACTTGATGAGATATACTAGGTCAGGGAGTGCTAAAAAGAAAACTGGACAAATTCCGTCTTCTCTTTTTCAAAACTATTGTATTACCTATCATCAATAGCTCTCTAGCTATGTATCTGAGAGCGACTCCGAGATCATATCAAAGTCTAATCTCGATACATATTGAACTATTCTATCACTCTGATATATCACATTCGTAAGCATAGCAACAGTATACATATTTTACTGTCAATTTCTGAATTCTTAACAAGCATAGACACGTTCAATACACTCAAGAAGTCCTTCCCTTTTATTTTATCATAACCCGCATAGCATTCCGATTATTCACAACGTAAATAAGATATATAGTAAATTATTGTATTCATTCTATACAAGACTAGCGCGAAATCATGACTATAGTACCACGAAAATTGGACGAATAAAAAAAGGAGGTGAATGTTATCTCCCCGGCAAGGCATTCAAATAAACAACATCACCGCCAATGCTGAATAACTAACTACCATTTAATTAATCATAATTACTACAATTAATGATTCTATATCTAAAATTATGCATCATTTTATTTCATATTATTGTCTTTATTACAAGAGTATAATAACAACATTTTCAAACTGTAATTGCTACTAGTTTACGCAAGCAAGTCAGTCATGAAGTTTAAACTCATAAAGTTCAGCCAATTTGTTCTCTACTTTTTTTAATTTTACACTTCGTTACTTTTAGATTAAGCCTTAAATAAAACCCTGTTTCAAAAATGAAATCACTGTATATTATAATATTTTTACTAGTTTATATCATTAAATCATTATCTGTATTAACTATACCGTAACTGTCTAAGTCGAAATTTTCTGGTGGACTCGCGCCCGCTTGCAATAACAGATAGATCCACCTAACCTTCTTATGCTCGATAGCAATTTTTAAGGGTGTATGACCAGATTGATCCACTTGATTGATATCGGCGTCATATTTAATAAGTAAGGATAAAAAGCACCCAATGATATCATCAAAACGATGCTGTAATTCTGCTTTTCTATACACTTGATGGATGTTGCCTTCTATTAGCCACATAATAATTGATTTTTGCTGACTTGCCCTTTCATCATTGGGATTAGCACCAGCTTTGAGTAAAAGCAATAGACATTGATAAAGATTAGTTGAATTAGCTACCCGCTGAGCATTGAACGTCTTGCTCTTCACTTTGTCTTTTAATGATTTGACAAAATTACGATAACGGTTATAACGTGATTTTAAAAATGGCATATTTTTACATAGCATCATTGGATTATATAAGTTGCGCTTAATTAAGAGGTATAAAGCAGTAAACGATCCGTGAACATCACTACTTCCACCAATGATATCAGGTAATGCGCCAAAATTAAGTAATAACTTCATGCAGCCAAGATGTGCGCTATCGGATGCTAAATGCAATGGTGTTGTTTGTAGAATATTATTAGAATCATGAATTTGATTAAAATAGCAATACATAAAACCGTGCGATAATAGCGTAACGCGTTGCTTGGATAACTTGTTGATATCAGCACCTAACGATAATAATGTACGAATACTTTCTGTATCGCCGCCAACTGTTGCAGCATGTAATGGCGGATATTGGCTAAAATTAACATCGGCACCATAACGTACCAGCATACGTATACCATCGACAAAATTATACCGTGATGCATAAGATAATGAATAGCGTTCTAGCGTTGTTTGATCATCAGGATGAGTAATCGGTATAGTAACATCAATATTAAATTCAAGCAGAACTAGTAAGCTCTCGAACTGATTGGCCCGCAATGTGACCATAAGAGCAGAATAATTGTGTCCATCATATTGGCATATACTCTCCGTTGCAGCACCAGAATGAAGTAATAGACGCGTTACATCTTGATAACCAAGTAAAATTGACCAGAACAACGGAGTGCAATTATAATCATCGAGCGTATTAACATCACTCATTTCTATTAATCTAGCAAGAGCTGTACCATCTTGTTTAATTACTGCTGCATGCAATTCAGGTAATTGGAATGACTGAAATAGCATATTTAAAATATTCAAACCATTGATACGTTCATCATCGATAAAAATAGCAAAATATAATATAGGCATAAAGGAATGATCTAACCAGTTATCATCATTATCATGTTGTGAGAGCGCTAATGTACTATTAGCAGCGAAATGATATAAAATCATACGAGCAAAGTCGTTGTTGCCTCTTTTAATAGCCACAAAAATTGGATTTTTTAAGTAATCAAATTTATTTGTCATATTACATTCAATATTAGCACCATACTGGATTAAATGCTCACCCCATACTTCTAGATTTTTACGCGCTGCTGTCATTAAACAACGATTAAATAATTCCTTATTTAAGCGCTGATTAACTAACCAACGTTGAATAAAACGCTTATAAGATGGATAACGTAGTGAACCCATTAAACGTTTATTGCTTATTTCTTGGCTCTCTTTAGATTGATATGCTGATAACGTTGTTGTACCGCAATCTTTATCGCCCAAAAAATGCCTAATATAATACTGAATATAATTTTCACCAACCTGCAATCTAGGATTACGTGTTAATTCTTGATATATTTTAAATTGCCATAACTTATCAGTTTGATTGGTAATAAAATTTCTAAAATATCGACATGTTAAGGACAAATTAATCAATTCGTAACCAGTTAAGTAACTACATATCAAGGAAATTGTGTTTTGTGGCAGATTCGATAAATAGTCTTTCTGATTACGTATTAAACGCGGCATTTTTCATTTGACTTGAAAGAGTTAAGGATAGCCTTAATTAAATGATTTTAGGAAAAATTCGCCTCAATTGATGAATCAACTCTTAAAAATATCTAAAACCAGAACGATAACAAATACATCATCGATAATTTTTCCGGCCATCACTGTATACACCATTAATTTTATTTCTGTAATTTCATGAAAAAAAGCAGTATTTTAAAGCATAGCCTTTGTAATGAATTGATACCCTGGTTGCATAGCATAGTATTGATCCTGACTTCAAGACCAACAATAACCCTAACTATAGTAACAGGACTATAGGGGGCTTCTATTCAGCCAGAATAAATCTTCACTTTATGCTATTGTCGCTATCAAACCACGATAAAGATCAATCAAATAATTATCATAACCTATACAATCTTATAATAACTTACATCAGGATCATAACAGTATACGACAAAATAAAAAAGCAACAACCAAATATCAGCACTTCTGTCTTTCATAATAAAACCAGACATTAACTAGACAATCCATGGAAACATAGTCAATAATCTTTCATAAGTTAATACAATTAGGCTCGATTCCATGACAGTGCATCTAAACATAAAGTGCTTTCCGGCATAATTACATAACAGGGGGTATACGGCCTATAAAGTCATCGACAAAAATCCTGACTTACGATAATGTCTACGTAATAGAGAATACGCATTACGGTCAACATGTTTATTTAATTTTTCATCCTTTTCACTTTAATTTTCTAAACATTCTAGCGCGTTTGGCAACTTATTATCGCATCCTTAGAGTGAAAAACTTTGCCGGTGATCTGATTTTGATAATAATGGACTTGTTGTATAGAAACTTAGCTCAGAATTGCTGTCTAGATATTATGTAAATTACTGTATAAGGTAACTTACCGCAGTAATTCGCTAGCACTATAAATTACAGCAGTAGATAGTTTATTGATTAATTTATATTTTTTGCCTTCAATTAAGTTCAAATGGTAATAGATTACAATTGCAGTAAGATATGGCTATCATGACAAATACAGTGCTCACATTTTTCCTAATCAAACTTGATAAGTGTTGCTTATCGTTATATTTCAACAACTACAGTTGTGTATTGCATCGTGTTTAATTTTTGAAAAAAGTTGGTACAGAAATTTTCCTTATCTAACAATAGTAATAGAAGTAGTAAATATATTATACTGATCAAATGAGATAAATATATAATTATCTGTAGGTGTCCGATAAAGAATTGTGATGATTACTACCGCTGTCAGTTGCATATCCTTATTTCAATCTAAGATGTGATTTTAATACTGCTAACAATCGTCTTTACTAACCGTCTTATTTATTATTTAATTACTAGCTCTTGGTCTTAATAACAAAGATTATTTAATTGGCTATAATCAGCGTGAGTAAATCCGTATGATGACGTACTGTATTTATACTATATTTACTAATAGGATATTTATTGTTTAATAACTGAGCCCATAATAGTAGTACTAATAGGCTTATTTTTGAAGGATAATTTCGTATAAACGCTAGCCGGTTGTCTTGATTTCAAGAATTGTGTCGAAATAATATCAGTTGCCACCTATTCTCGAAATGGTTAGATGTAAAAGCTGTGACAACATTATTGATTTGCTCAGGTTGATTGAAAACTTTAAAACAAAGTCATTTAATGATTAGGACTTGTCAATTCTGCAAATATGGATTAAAATATAGTATCTATTAAAACTAACACACTACATAAAAGAGTGCATAACATATGCATTATCAGTTTTTATATATAAATGTTGATTCTATATTATCAACACAACTGTAAAGTATCTATTAAAGGTTATAGATTGACGATAATTATCAACCTTTTATAATGGTATATTTTCAGTTAGTAGTATCTTCTTAAATACGAATTAAAGGTCTATTTGATTTCCTTTACGCCTGCTCTTTCTAAAACGTAATTTTCATAGAATCCAATGAGTTATTTATGGTTAGACAATGATTATACTGTATATATACTATACGCTTCTGCGAATCTCAGCAATTATGATAGTTAAAAGGAAGAGATATCAATCGGCAGGCGCCCCCAAAACCTCGTATATTGATTTACGTCATCTTTAAATATGCAATATACGCATATTGGGTGTAAAAATTTGATTGCATCTGTAATCACAGTATACTATAATTTTAATAACACAATTTTCTTTGGATGACCTGGATACGAATCATTCTGTACGATTACCAGTTACGCTTAAAAGAGATACTTTTGATATAATTTAAACGAGAAATAAAAAGTTGTAAGAACTGCTCTGACTGTTAGTAAAACAGAATAAACTGTTTTCGTAGTCATGTATCAAAACTTATCTATCAGGCTGCCAAGTATTTATAGCCTTTTTGAAATATCTCTGAGACAGCATCTTAAATCTTAAAATGTATGAACTGGCATTATAATATCTCTGAAAGTCGTCAGATTCATTCAGTATCATGCAATCATTGCACGGCCATAAATACCACAAGTTCTGCAATAGCATCCAATAAGTACTTGATTTTTTAAGTTACAAAAACTCGCAAAAAAATTATATTAGCACATGACAATTACTCAAGGATAAGAGGTCTGTGTTTATTATACAGCTTTGAAGACGAATGTCTTTTCTATTCCAACTATGAAATTTTAAATATTTTACGTTATCATCATTACAGTACCAAGTATAACAAATAGTGCATATGTTAATTCAGAAACAGCAATAATCTAATAGATTATTATTACGCGACAAACTATGCAGAATATGAAACATTTTTATATCACCAATGATTGGTATACTATCCATACAAGTATGTGTCAGACGGCTTGATAGTATATCACGATATAACGAGAGAACATTTTATGAACATTTTTTGAAATTATTTTAAAAAAACAGTAAGTCATTAGATGCAAGTATTATCATTTAACGTCCGAGATAGATCAAAGCACAAACATTGTACGTAATTATCCGAATCACAGACATATGTATTGTACTGTTTTACTGTACAATTGTAATTAATTCATGGACTTCTTGGAAGTCGCTTATCATAGTTCCCAATAGAATTAACGATACAGTGCTTTGTTTACTAGTAAATTCTTTAATGGAAGCCGAACGAGAGAGAATTTAATATAGTAATTTAATGACTTTGACTGATAGGAGTAATTTTGAACTGCAAATGTAAAGGATTTCCCTACAATAACAACGAATAATAGACATCAAACAGTTGTACTAGGACTATTTCTTACAGTTTAATTATCTTCTTCTACACAAAGATACCAATATACGAATATATTACCGTCCTACCGTGTTATTAGCATAAATAACAGCCACATCTTCCAGCATAAATTCGTTATCAATCAATCGACCATTATGAAAAACGTCAATCTGTTATGATAGCAAAAAAATTGCATATCTATTCTATTATATGCAATATGAAAAATGTCATCTATCTAGTAAGATATAAAAATTTATGTCTACCATATGCATATCAGGCATTAACGTTTTCATTTTAATAAATTTCTTTAAATGAACAACTCGCATATGGCTCGGACATCTTAAATAGCGGATTTTGCTAGCCTTAATGAATATCAAGAAAGAATAGCTTGAATACTCAAAGGTCTATCTAAATATCACAGTATATGGATGATATTAAAAGTGCGAACAGAAAGAATAAGCTATAATTCAAAGTACATGCTGTACTTTCACCATAACATGGAACTCCATAGATGATAAAAATGTTATTCTATGACAAAAAGCAAAGTAATGCAGTCTACTTAACATTAGCTTACCTTAGAACGTCCGTTACTAAATTGCCTATAATGAGCAGCAATGAAAAGCAGTCATAGGGTTAGAAATTTTAAGGATAAAGCAGTTATATTGTAGTTATATATTGTGTTACTGTACATCTAAGCTACATTACGAATAATATAGTATAGTGCACATTGAATAGCATGTTCTTGCCAATTACTGTACATAAAAGATAGACACTGAAAATTTCGTGAAGAGTTATCTAGCATTAATTCTAATAAAGAATTTAAGCATAGAACTTCAGCTTGTAATTTATAAGAAAAGTTATATCTCATTGCTTAGATTGCTTTTAGCAATTTCCAAAACGAACTCTACCACTATCCACTTATAAGATTGAATAAAATAATTCAGCGAAAAACTTACGAGCTTGAAATATTCTCTAATGTGATACAAGTACGTTGGCTATCTTCCGATTGGCGTCTCTTATTTAAATTGTTGGATAGTAATTCTAGAAAATAAGTTACCTGGCATAAATGCTCGTCTTAATGGTACAGTACTCGAGTGTTTTTAATTAAAAAGTTGCATTTATCCATAGATACAAAGATATTTTAGCAGGAGATAGCAGTTTGACCATTAGAAATAAGTATTAGTTATAAATATATTCCCTACAGTTTTCCAAGTAAGATACGTTATACGTATACAGTATAGTTCAGGTACGATTAACTTATAATATTTAAAGAATTCTTTTAATACCGCTTTTTGGCATAGTTACTCCATGCTGATTGTAAAAATCTAATCTTCTCCGATTTTCTTCTATAAGTTTATGAATGACATAAAGATCTACATCTCAGCATTTAGATAATTATAATTAACAAATATAAAAATTCATAGTAAACATGACTCATAGAAACTTAATTTGTATTGCGGTATTATAAATCATACTCGGATAAATTTTACTCAGAAACCCACTAGATAATGTACATTTATGCTACCCGTTCCCTACATTTCATACCTTTCAGTAAACCAGGAACGAGACCATAAACGATCTCTTGCAAGGTTGTATCGGATCTAATCGTAAGGCCATGTTTAAACGATAGATGTTATGAAACACTATCCATCAAATTAATTCTAGTTTTGCAATATATGACTATATACGTTTGGTATTTCTATCATAAATTAGCATTAAAGAATTAACTAAATTTCAATCCAGATTTCGGTTTTATTAACTATCGATATATGGTATTTCAAAAAAATATCCTTCATACCTTATGTTAAGATGAGGCCTCGTCTCATGCACTCTCAGATTACAAAGTGGACACAGCAAACTTTTATCGAAATGTTTGACGATGCAACTTCTACAAACTAAATTTATATAAAAATAAGATTAAAATTAATTCAGATAGAATTCAAGTATTATTTGAATGAATTAATTAATGTGAGTCTTGTGAGGATTGCAAATGATAATGCTAGCCATTAGTCATCCTAAACCATGTGTAACTGTCGCACGCGTAATCAAAGTTCTTGAAATATGCGCTGTCAGTATCAACTAGCTTTGATTGCAGTAATAAGAAGAGATACAGGTAACTCCATTACCTCGGTCTTACTAGTGGTCATATAATTAATCAGAGTATTGTAATAATTGTGTTTATCAACTGTACGTCAATCTTTATAGGCTTCATTTTACACCATGCAGTCATAGCTTCGAGCCTATTTTGACCATTATTGTCCATCGCACCTCTTGCAAATAGAAAAACATTCGTTCTCCTACTGTCGGTATATAGAAAGATTCTTCATTAAGTGATAACATATCAGATAGCGTTGGACAGCTGATATTAATGTAGCTAAAGACTTCGACGTCATTGTACAGTTCTGTACGGCTATAAAACATCAGCTCATCATTCATACGAATGCAATTAAATATCAACCAATTCAGGAGAATAAAATTTCTTTATCCATTGGTAAATACAGCATTATTAGTTAGAAATAACACCATGTTTTTTTCCCCAAACCAAGCTGATGGTGAAATGATGACTATTATACTGTATACGTATACAATTCTGCACCTGTATTACACATGCCTACTGGCAGTATAAGAGCACTCTGATGCTGACGTTAGCATCATCCATATCAAACAGTCACGCCTCTGGTATACAGGTATAACCAAAAAGTCAATCGAATGGGCAGACTACTACTAGCCATATACTCTACATTAACAGTAAAAACTACAAACTGCGTTAATCCATCGATTTTCAGTGTATGGGATCTAGAATTTAATTACAGTACATACTCATGGCAGCCATTCAAGTGCGATCAAGATTGAGCAAAACTACAACGGGACAACGCATACGCATATCAGTTCCAATACCATCAAAATATTTCTGCTTCCTACCGTTGCTTCTACTGTACAGTACTGTCGGAACAAGTCCAGTACCGTCATCGAACGATTCCAAAGCGTCACAGAACATCAATTATAATTATTATATTAGTCATGTTGTACTGTATAGAAACATCTATGCTAGCATCAGTATACGACATGATTTTATGATAGAAGTTTGATTGCATTGCCACGATCTGTCATCGGAGTTTATCACAGACTCTTTTATAGTAGTAGTATCTATATGTGATACACAATATTAACTTTACGCCAGGATAACCTACAGGAGTGCAAGCATTCCGTAATGGTGGTAGCATCGATCAGGTAGCCTTGACATAAATAGCAAATGACATGAGGATTAATTTGCTGAACTTTAACTTGAGCTTCGGATTGCATACTTGGTCCGTGTAAATCGTTAACGCAAATGCGCAAGTACTGGCTGAGCTAGTACCTACCCTGCGTATATATGCACTATACTGTATACTGTACGTGTATTCTGTACTTTTCCTACAATACACTACAGTACAGCACAGTACTGTACCGTGTCGTAAACTGATTGAAGACCTTATACTGTACAGTACTGCAGTTACTATACTGTAATGTACTATACAGAAAGAAAAAGTCTCATACTGTACATTATATCAGGCTTCATCAAACTTTTTAGTCTACGTTATGTCTCTATAGTATGAAGAGGTAAAAGTTTCTCCTTTTACCTCCATTCCATGTTTAGTTATAACATTAAACATTTAATTGTGAACAACGCTGGTAATAAGACCATATCAAGTGTCAATAAGATCACATTAGCTGCATCGCTAGCGGCGGATAGAAGGATTGTTATCCTTAGTCAAGTTTGAATACATGATAATGTATGTACACGAGCTAAGAACTGCTCTTTGAGCCATTCGTGGAGTGTATATCCAAGTGTAAGCTTTAAACGTATACTGTAGTATGGATATGGATTCTACGCATGCAACTGTTGGAATCACTAATTTACATGTAAAGTACAACTTACAAATATACTTTAGTAATTAATTGTATACTTGCGTATACGCCGTACGTGTACTTATTCATACATTTAAAGGTAAAAGATATCCAAAGCTTAAAACAAGTACTAGAATTAGAAAAGATATGACTCGAGAATTACATAACGGTCACTACCATATAGATGTGTTAGTAATCTACAGATGTCTTCTACTATATCCGATCACTACAAATTTATTCAAACTTAAATTGATAAATAAATTGCAACTAAGTGACTTTTTATATCATATCTGCCTACACATGATATTTTGCATTGTTAACCAATAGTGTTGCCGGTGATCCATTTGCAAATAGCTTAATAAACAATAATTTGAATGAAGTAATACCGTAACATTGCATTTATTGCCTTAAATGGACTAGTACAAATATGTTACGATTTTAACAGAAGTAATCTGCTACAGCTCAAACGATTAACAGAAAAAAGTTAATTATGATTCTTTATGTGCATTGCACTCTTGCATAAAACTATATACGAGCAATAATTTGACCATAATAACCATCAGCGTATTTCTATATGAAATAATCAAAGCGCGGAGTTCTAGAGTAGCGTAAAGTGAAAAGGTCTACAGAATAAGCCGTAAATCTCAACTACAAATTAAAAATATAGTGACCGACTTAAACATCATCCAAACCCTCGGGCATTATATACGAGATGTCATCCCAAGGATGTCGATATAAGCCTTGTTTCAGACGTTTTTGATCAAGGAAATGACCTATTAGAAAAATTTCAATATACTAGTTAGATACAATATTATACATGATAACATAATAAGATATCGACACGTAGCAAATACCAGGCCATAATACTAATTCAGGCAATTAAAAAAATCTTAATTTAGAGAAAAATTTGCTACAATATTAACAACTGTAACAAGCGCTTAATCAATTGATACTATTTCAACTGTAGCGGTTAACATGTTCTATTACTACAGTACTATAGAGTCCTCACCAATGAATCCCATGGAACGCCCAAGAACAAAAATGCCGTTCAATGTACCACTTTCAATATACTCCGTAACTTCCTCACTATAGTCATTACAGATGATGGATATACGTATAAAAATGTACGTCAAATTTACATATTTACTTTGTTAGCTAGAATATAGGTCATAGCGAATTTGCAGTAGAGAACGCTACAGTATACGCTTAGACATATGAAAACAATACAGCTACATTGGCTGTTTTGTTAAGACTACGCATACTTACGTCGTAAATGCACCACAGTTTCTAAGTAGATCAACAAAACAAACACCAATGCAACCATCGACATTCAATATCAGATTTGGCCTTTTCGAAGTAGTAATCTTTTCTACTTCAATAGCATAATCCAAAAGTGGAGTAGAGGGGAAATTGCTTTTTACGTAGTGCTTTAGAATGACGACACGCTTATCGGGATTATTCAGCTAAGACAATAATCATCGAAAGTAATTAATGGATGTTTATCCTGATAATCAAACGAGCTAGAACTAGTAAAATTTTCTCAGTTTAGTACTACAATACCGATTTTACGCGATGCCCAATACCCATAATTAATTTATTCTGTTTCCTCATACTATTAACAAATTCCATAGGTAATAATCCTAAATCGAAAGCTTCCGAAAATTGCCTAGCGGCTCCGTCTAAAGCACCGCCAAATCGATCACCCTACAATGCAAGCAACACATATTCTAGCATATTCTTTTTACAAATATCTTAAGAATGACACTCTTACGATGGTTAGTAAGCCAGAGGTTAATGAAGAGATTAGATCTTTCCCGGCTCTGGCAGTAACAATGGTATTGTGAGCACCAGAAACAGCTAAGATAATAATAGGATATAACAGCAATATTAAGATTAAATTTTAATACAAGTCAAAGTACAAACAGAACTAATTTCTACCTGGACCATGATCTGCAGTAAGTATAAGACACATTTCTATAAATCTTGTAGCATAGTGTGGTAGGCTATAAGGAAAAAACAATTCAATTAGTACTAGCAATTTCGCAAATTCCATCTTACAAGGACAAATCACTAACCGTCTCTGAAACCAAAGTAGGCCTATAACTCCTCCAATTCCCATCTCTTCCTAAAAGTTTAACAATACATACAGTCCACCGTCAATATGAGTGAATTACCGCGCCAACTATACAAACTACAAACCTTGAAAATTTCAGATATTGGCATGCCGGCGTAACGCAGTTCATCTCCTCTCTCGTCACAAATAGTTGTCATAAATGATGATGGCTTGCGAATTAAACCTAACTCCTACGAAGAGCCAACATTAGGATAACGTGAGTTTACAAGTTTTATAGTATCACATAGTCACAACGTATAATAATATTTTATCGAACCCTAGCCCAAGCGTAATCCATTGGAACCGTAGGTGGCTGTTGTTCAGGTTTTGGTACAATGGTACCTTTACTTACTAAGTCATTATAGACATCTCTATAATTGTATATAATATTTATTGCATTAGATAATTTAATAGCTTGTTTTTATATCATGAAACTATAATTAAAGCGATTTACCGTATCAAAATTCCATAATCATCGAAACTATTAGGTACGTGAGCACCGGCTTCTCTCAAAGCCTAATAAAATCGCAAGATCGTGAAAATATAAGAAATTAATATGTTTATATTATGCACACGATGAAGGGGAGCAGGGTAAGTAAGTAGTTATGAACACCTTATTCTTCGCCACTGAGGTCTCCCTGTCGGCATTAGCACACGCTCCAGCATGTCCGAATTGAACCTTCAAGATAACGCGTACTTCAGCCCATTAAATAACTATTGACGATACTAATTCAAACGCACCTCAGATGTAAACATTGACGCGCATGTACCAATACACCAAGCCACAACTGGTTTCGTTATTCGTCCATTTTTAATCTCTTGGCAAATATGATATTCCTCTATACCACCAACCTATTATCAGTAAAAGCACAAAGCATGTACAAGTTTAATTAATCTAAGTTATACCGGCAAACGTCGATACTCAGTAAGTAAATTTGATTAACCTCTCCAAGCATTACGATCAATTTAACGTCATCAGTATCATTATATCGCAGAATGTGATCAATAAATGTAGTACCAGGGTAGCGATCTCCACCGATTGCTACTCCTTCATAAACGCCATCTGTTGTTCTACATATCATATTATTTAGTTCATTAGACATTCCCCCAGATCGTGAAACATACGCCACGCTAAAATTAAAAAATGTACATGTCACTTTCATACAAGATGTACAGAAATGCAAGATTATTACACATGTTGTACAATGCGCAGTATGCGTGTAGTTACTGATTACAAAAATAAATTGATCATTATCAAGGATTACCTTCCGGGTCTATAGAGCTTTGAAGCTATGATATTATCCAACATACCGCCAGTATTACCGATACGGAAACACCCTGGTTTTATTCCTCCAACCTAAGATAATAAGAAATTAATACTCTGACAACATGCCTTTCGCATGTAACAGTTAGCCGCACGTCAGTACCGTAGCTGGACCAATAACGGTAACATCTTTTTCTTGAGCAGTTGCGATTAACTGCTTTGTTTTAGCTTCAGGAATTCCTTCCGCAATTATAGAAATGGCTTTAATCTGTAGAATTTGATTACAGGCATAAGATATATCTATGAATCATTGAATCCTAAATAATTAGAAACTACTTATAAAATATTTTAGAGACATTCTTATGTTAACAACCTGCTTGAATTGCAAAGCTTCCATAGTGGAATCATAAGCCGATCTTAGAGATGCAAAGTTAACAAGAACATCGACTTCAGGAAATTTTCTCATAGCGTCAGACATATCTTTAAACACTATTCAAAATATCAAATATAAAACAGTTATATAAAACAGTTATCAAATCATGTAAGAAACCGTACGTATTCTACACAATTTTGACTCAAGTTCGGTAATATTATAATAGGGGTACCTGGTATGAGAATCTCTTTATGACCCCAATAGAATTTCTGTTTATGATCCCCACTATAACAGATGAAGACATGTACATGTAAATAAGCCAATTATTTTTTTTAACCTTTCTTTAATATTTACTGTAAATTATTGTTTATCCGGTCACCTGAATGGATAAATCATAGCTGCTACCGACCAAGTTTCCCTTGAACTTACATAGTCGAAATCTAACATACCCTAAGGAAGTTGAAAATATTCCGATAGAATCTTATACCAATAGCTAGATTTAATAATAATGATTAAGAAGAGGTACCAACATTTGTAAAATACCTGCACTGCACGCGGCTGCATGCCCCAAACAAAGCATCTTGTTTTGTCGGTAAAAACAGTAATTCTACCTCGCTCATTGCGCAATGATTTAACATCTTTATTGTCAGATAAAGCTTCTCCAAAAGAACTAGTACGAGACTTCTTATTCGCTGGAGAAGAAAATCCCGACGACGAAGACTGAAGAATTAGGAAATGTAATATAGTATTATCAGAGTTCAATATTTACGATCTTCCAGGAAATGTATCTTTATGGTCAAGTACCAATCGAGTGTTACTACCTAATATCACTAACACTTGAAAATAATCTTATTTTTTAATATAAATTAAAGTGATTAAAATTACATACAGTGCTAGACGACTCCCCAAGTAGCAGACTGACAGTTTGAGTGTTTGCAACAGTTGCGGTATAATCTGAAACAGCTTGCTTCCCTAGTGCCATAGAAACAATAGCCGTCATATGTGTTTCAGGCCCAAAAACGTGCAGAGGAACACCTAAATCTGTACCTAATCATCATATAATACATAATCGAGTAAATACGATTTGTGAAACAATGTTGAAGTGAAGTTAATTCTTATCCTATACCAAGGTCACGCATCATTCGTAGTCCTTCCTGGTAATTAGGTCCACCACGTCTAGCAAATATAGATACTTTAGATTCAACTAGAAGATGGCGAAATTCCATTAAAGCCCTGATAATTCCCTGTCAGAAGATTTAAAGATTAGTTCATTTTTTTAAATTTTGTTTAGAGTAATTTAATTAAGGAGAGCAAATATTTAATAAATCATTATGAAACCTTAAAAGTTGCAGCAACGTTCGTGAAATTAGCGATACCTCCACCGATGATTAATACCTTTCCTATTAAAACGTCCAGTAAATGTTATAAATAACTGCTGTAAAATTTAAAGTACAACCGAACACAATCGTTTACCTTCAGGATGCTTATGACGACAAATGAGGCTAAGAACTACTTTGGCGTATTCGTAAGTTTGAGATTCTGTAGGTGCTCCAGAATACTCTCCATAGTTGGCCAATTCATGGCTAAATCCTAGGTCGCAAATCGTGTCGCTATAGTAATAAAATGTAAATTAATTGCAATAACTAGAGGATAGAATAAACCTTTCTAATTTGATACTATTTGTAGCCAGTAATACAACATACCTATAAATTACTGAAGCTCCGCCGCCAGCAACCATAGTCCATACTCGTCCTTGCTCGTTTAAAATAGTTAATTTAAGCGATGCTCCGCTTTTAGCGTCAAGTTCCGCAATATAAGCTTCCTTTAAGAATATAATGTAATGAGTATAAATAATAGTCTAAAAGATGTTATCATTGAGTTAGAGTTGATCCACCTCTGGATAAGCGTCTCGTCCAAAGGGTGGAGGAAATGTTATCTCTCCCCATTCTTTTTTACATAGATATTCTGCAGTTGCGTCAATTTTAGCGGCCAAGTCAAGGATATAGATCGCGTTATCGACAACAACTACGCAAAAAATATAAATAAAGTCATTTCATAAATGTAAGTTAAAGAAAGGAATGAATATATTCTATAAATGAAATATCTCACCTAAAGGGTTGATCTCCAGGTACGCAAAATAAAGCTTTCGATAGATATTAAACAATGCTACTATAAATTCAGCCACAAGTCTAGCATTTATAATATAAATTCATTGAAAGTTAGAATTGTTACCTAATTTGTTTATAATAATTATAATTTAGTAAAGTATGAACATTTGCGTCCTTACCTTTTGATTGGAGCGGCTACATTCTTTACGAGCTCTTTTTCAACTTGATCGATTGAAGGTAATTTGTTAGCGGCAATATCTAATTTTAGAGCCTTTATTTCATTTGAAAGTATAACAAGGGCACAATCAGTTTGTTCAATACGCGTTATATAAATATAAAGTTTAATAATTCGATATTGATACTATTAAAATACAATTGTATCTTATTTTATAAGGTATACCTTTTCATCAACATTTCCAACATCAACACCACCTTCATGATAAAAGAGAATACTGTCACCTTCTCTGGTTCCATAGATACATAAGTACAGTTCTTGATCCTATTTAAATTTGTAACAAATTTAATATCTGCAAGTATTTTTATATAAAACCACCGTAAATTATACTACTGGTCATTTATCCGATTGATATTACTTCATTAAAGTATAGCACTTCGTAGCACATGATGCGAATAAAAGTGTCATCAAATTTAACTTACAGTGAGAGATGAAACATACTATTATTCAGTAATATCCAATTGCAAGCAATACAAATATAGCCCACTATATAGCACATTGCCAATGTCTTATTGCAAAATCTTACGTCCAACAAACATATTGTTATTTTCTAAAAATTATTTACTTCAGGTATACAAGTATCACACGTACATGAACAGTACAGTATTGCAAAATGCATCATCTTCGAATAACCTCACTTTAAATAGACCGAACTCTGTATTATAAATTCATTCAAAACCGAACCTTTCTCAGGTCTACAGTACTGTTAGCTCTTTCACTCTTTGCTTATTTAACGCAAATAAACTGTTACACTTGTTCACTTATATAGCTGATAAAGCGAGTTATCATTTTCCATGATTGATCGCCGCATTATAGATATGAGAAAAGCAATACATCTTAAGCCATTCGATCTACATATATCGTAAACCATAGTAGCTGTAAGATTGCCTTAACGCAGACTACAATTACAATTAACGCCTATTTCTATCAAATTTTTATCAATTACAATATAGGATAATTATGATCCTCTTAAATTAGACTATAAAAGCTGAAAATACCATATGATCATTAAATCCTGACCTGGGTATGCTTGACAAATGGCTCAACGATAAATCGCCTTAACGTACCAGTTGCTCCGCTAACCTGAAATAAGGAAGGTAGAATGAAATAAATTTCGGTATGGTAAATACATCATGGTGAAAAGGTAAAATTTAACCTTTGACTTTGCATACAACAAACAAAAATACGTTATTGATTGCGCTCTGCAGTGCTTGTACTATAGTAGCTTGTGTATGCAAATGTGATGTGCATTTAGCGTTTATTCAATCTATGCAGATTCTAAACAGCTATTCGGAATAGACTTTAAAATACCGATACATAGATCTATCTACTTCGTTTAATGATACTGTATCTATCCAAGTTATGTGACCAGTGTCCATTAGCGACTTTTAGGGCCTCTAGTGCATGTTACTGTAAACTATGCAATCTGGATTACCAGCTGTAATAATTTTACTGTATATAGCAAACAAGATTTCTAAGTAAATGAAACCATACGCCCTATACAGTAAGTAAGAATTAAAACAATACAACCTGATAATATATCACATACTCGTATATATATATATGTACAGTATATATGTATAATGTAATATTATTTATTGAATCGTATTCCCTATTTTAGACTACAGTAGAGCAATAAAATTACAGAGCGATCCATAAAACTGTGGAATATCGCAGTCTGCTGATCTAGTACACATACAGTACAAACGTCATCACTGAATGAATTAATTATACAGTATCTCCATTTGCAAGCAAATGAGCACAAACACCAGTTTACGTTGATACTGAACAGTAAAGGTATTAAAACAATTTCAATGTCCAACAAGAATGAGCTAAACAACATCACTTTGCATAAATGCATAATGTAAATTATGTAATTAATCATAAATTATCATTAATGAATTCAAATATAATATAGTGCTGTAACGGGAGCTATTTATTTTTATTATTTTTTTTTTTATTCCATCGGAACAGAACTACACCTACCGAATAGAAAACAAGAACACGCTACGTGAATGGCCTGAACGCACGTACACTCGTACAGTATGGCATACTGCATGCTTTTCAAATCAGACCTTTTCAATAAGCGTGCATTAAAAGCTACTGTAAATTGTAGTCTAGCACAACATGTACTACAGCAGAGTTCCTGCAAAAGCCTAGCAACTGCAAGCTCCCATTTTTCGATAACGATCCTAATTTCTGCCGCACGGTGCAGATGTAACCAGAGCTGTACTCGGACACTCAATGGGTGTAGTACAGTATAAACAGTCCCTGTATATGCGGACTGCAAAGCTAACATGAATTCGCTCTATCACAAAGGCCTGAGGTATTAGAATCAATGACGTTTCTTAAGCAAGCAATCTACACAAGTAAATTTAATAAGCATTTACTATACAGTGAGTGTACATATTCGATGACCTTAGAGGAACGTATACGCGATATAGCATCACTAATTTAAAAGAGTTCAAAGATGAACCTCTTGAGCTAGATAAACACGCAGTAGCCGTTGTACGAATTGGAAAAAAAAAAATGACAGTGACTGGCTTATTGCATAAGTGAGTAATACCATAGATCGTACTACGCTCTACTGTAGTGTGCATACAGTAGAGAAAAAATTGGGGAAGCTAGCCAACCTGTATAGGCTTATTCATCCTTTCAGTAATCCATTTTTGCACTTCTGGCCAATCTGCATTGACTTTAATAAGCCCTAATTTACCACGGCGCTTGATCAATTGATCCGGTTTGACAACTAATCGCTACATTATGAGCAAAATAGAAAGCAAACTTGTAACCATCGACCGATATATTATCGAATACAGTTTACCGCTATGAGCTATGACACTATCCCTACATTAGGCTACATATATTGCAGTCTTCACAGACTGCAATTGTACTACGCATATAATTCCCTAATATAATTTAATTTAAATTAATTCAGACACAACATCTGCAACAGCCTATCATACGTAGGCAGAAGCATTAACGGCTCACTTAGACTCTTGCATACAGTAGAATACGTTACCTCAGAAGAGAGCCAGGAACTTTCATCCTGAAGTTTTGCACAATCTAAATTTGATGCAGCAACAGCACTTTTAATAGGAGCTAACTGAGGAAATTGTAGATGTTGGCTTATAAGTCGCTTGCCATCCGCTTCATAAATTGCCTTAACCGACATGATGTGAAAATTGCTTGTCCGACTGGCTGCTTTGCCACTGCACCCAAAAAAAAAATGCGTCGACGATACGTGTATTCGTCACACTGCACTCTCTAGTAAGTGACAGTCGAGTAGGTATGAACACCGTCCGATAAGTGACAGTACGTCGTACGATATTGCGACACAACCGGGCGCCCTACAGTACTGTACACTGTACTGTACAGTACAGTAGAGTACAGGAGAGCACAGTATGGGCATTGTACAATGTACAGTACAAAAAAATAAAAGAAATACTGTAGTGACGTTGAGTTGCGTCACCTTTCTGCTAGATGACAGTATTGTATTGTATGGCTAGCGTCATACTGTGCACAGTGACACCACGTCGTCCGCGAAACATGGACGAACGACACGAGATGGTAACAAAAAAAATTGGGGGGGAATTCTTTTTTTTTCTTTCTTTTTTTTGAAATGAACAATAGAAGAGTTCACTGACCATTTAATGACGCCTGTGTGTGTGTCAGTCATTCGAGCTCACCCCACCTTTTGTGTAAACGATATCACGCAACCTCAGTTTAACAAACACGTGCGATGCGATGTGGGTGATAGTGCAGAGTGCAGAGTGCAGCTCGCAACATCCAACATGAGCCAGCAAGGATTAGTACTGTACTGTACAGTGTACAGTACTGTACTGTAAGCCTTGGACCAAGGACTTTTAATTTCCAGTAAAGAGAAAAAATTGGGAAAAGTTATTGACCCAACTTGATCGCTTTAAACGATCTACCGTACGACAGGATGACTTTACTCGCTCAATGGCAGAGTGTCTTGACTATCATGTCCTATCGTACGATCCGGTCTACTGCAATCGATTCTGAATATCAGTATACCGGAAGAAAAGGGACAAAACGATCGACCAATTTTCAGATCACGCCATATCCTGTACATTATTCTGCATGTGGTACTGTCAATAATGTATGAGTATGGGTGTATACTATTGGATCATGTTTGTTTTTAGCCAATATTGTATGTACAGTGTACACTGGAAAAGTACATGATTGTTACAGTAAACCAACGTGGCTTTCAGTCCTTTCCTACTTAGTCTACTGTACTGTATATTTATTGCTACTGCACCGTATGGAAAAATCTTGATGGTCTGGACGTCTGGCCTCGACCTTGACTGGTTCGTAAAAATTGCAAAAACACACAGCAAAGTGTCCACCAGTCTCGCCATTGAAATCGACTGAACAATACCGCAGGTCTACTAATACGTACTATAACCACTTATACTGTACTCTACTGGATTGGCAACCCTCTTTAACGCCCTACCCAACGAGTACATATCCATAGACTACAGTAGATTGCTATACATCTTACTAGTCTATGAAACAGTTAAGCATCAGTGTTTCTAATCTTTTACTGCATACGGGTGTACGTATGTAGCACAAATAAAGGAACTGATGAATACTGACTGTGAGTGGAGTAATCAGAGACTACTAGCTAAAAATACAAGGCTTTTAGTTAGCGATCGGCTCCCTGATACATCTAGTTTTGCATTGTATCTACTTGTAACATTGTATCATATGCTAAGTATGATATATATACAGTATACTGTACGTATGCTGTATGTATGAGTATATATGTCACTATACTCGTACATGTATATCTACTAGTTTATGACATAATGCACAGTAGAGAACCGATGCGAGAGCATGACGATTTCAATCAATTAAGCTTATTTAACTACAAAGTATTACGAAATGTGTGTATCCATACAGTAGTAATTTAAAATTTAAGCGAAGTTACATAACTGTCAATAGCAATAAATTCAATTTTATTTTGTCTATTTTATATAGTAATATATATAATACTGTACGCGAATAATTCATCATTATATGATTAATTACAATAGCCCATGAAGCACCAGATATATTGGTGTACTGTATAGTGTATTCGTTCATATGTATTTGATTTGAACAATTAAGTCAATATGTTACTGTATGGTGTACTAGCAATAGTATGTATATGCAGTGTATAAATAAATATATACTGTACATATAGTGCACACAGTAGAGCTTATGTAAACTGTAAACAAATTGGGGGTTGCTATGGGAACAGTAAAGTAGATGTTGCGATGCTATTTGGAAGGCAATTGAGCCCTGTGTTGAGTGTTGTTAAACATCTTAAGCCAGAAACATACTCCTCTACAAACACATTCATACTAAAAATCTTAAACTGCTAATAAACGCATACAATACTTGTAGAGTGTGCACTCACAATATTACAAACTCTGTCATTATAGCTACGTACATGGCATATTAGTCAGTTATGTTACACAAGTAACTAATTATACTATACTCATGAACTAAATCTTAGCTATGCCTGGTAACACGGAACAAAGCGGATAACAGGTGTGCTGACTAGTTGTACCAGCCTTATAAAATTACATAAGAGTTATTATCGGCTGTGAAGACGGGTAATGACTCAATCGAATGTTGATCTACAAGTCTTAATGATAATCATTTCAAGTACAATCACTAAGCACTTAACTGATGAATAGCAACGCTAAGCTGTGCTAGTTATAGTTAATTCTAACACACTATGACAAGATCCTATCCAACGCTGCAAGTATAGACGAATCTACAGAGTCATTGTTGGTGAAAGTCCCCACAAGCTACAGCATACGACCCGGCCCTATTCCGTGGCATCAGTAATTATTTATCTAATATTAAAGATACTTTAGCTCTTTTAATCGATTTTATCTCAATCTAATACTGGAGTATCTTGTGTGTAATACTCTCTTTTACATTCAAGATTATTATTGCAGTTTTATTTAGTTCTTTTAACTATTTTCATACTTCATTGGCGTAAATTACGCGTATCACAATATAAACGAAATTTGATTTAGAAGTCTAATATTTTAAACTTTATCGTATCCGTACTATTCGTTAGATTGATGATATTTAAGTAAATAAAATTTGACACATCTTTTCTACAAATTTCATCATCATACATGCCTATAATTACTGCAATAGTTAAAAGCTAGACTACAGTAAGTGTTATAATGTTTAGGCTTACCTTGAAGCCTGAATACTGTGTTGCGCACTAATTCACTTACAGATAATTACTAATAATTCCTTCATACTTATTTTTCTAATAACTATATTTATACTTGATTAAGTATAGATTGCTAACACTGATCAATATTAAACGATCGATTGCCTATACTGGATCAATAGGCTTGCATCTCTGTACTAATTTATTAATTACAACTTCTAAGTCCAAGTTAAAAACTTACAAACATGTATTCCATATCTGGTTTTAATACTACACAAGCATACTATCATTCTTTAATAAATGAGTCCCAAAAGAAAATTGTAGCCGGTTATAACAAACGGCATCGTTTATCCCAACCTGCCAAAGTCACCACGTCTATCGAGAAAGAAGAGGACAAACTAAAGTTGCCTTCTACATCTAAAAGTGAACCAAAATCAAAAGCTCCTCATCGAATCGATGATTCTGTATTTAATCCTACTAATGGCTTTCTATCACCCGGAGTAAGTGCAAAGCTAAACCTGTCAAACGTAATAGGAATAGATCCGAAAAGTAGGGACAACAAGACTACTGTAGCATTCGAGAATAATGATACACCCAGAGAAACTGTGAATGACTCTAAATCGAATGATACAAATGATATGGAATCCAGAGTACCGGATGACAAGGGTAATTCGCGTTCTTAATTTTTACTGCAATACGTTCTTATGTTATTCACTATGTGAATATAATATGAGCGAATTACTGTAAATTAATTCAAGCAATTTTTTTCAATCATAACTATAAGAACAATAATTTAAAATTAATTATATTTCCGGTAATACTCAATACAGATATAACACAAAATATGGAAGTAACGGCAGTAGATGAAAACAATGAGAAGGAAATGGTTGAAAAGGTGCTGGATGAAGATGGCATAAGCAAGGATGAAACTACGGATGATGAGGAAGAAAAAAAAAATGAAAGTAATGATACATTAGACTCTACGCGCAAAATTACATTTTCTGACATGGAGACATCAAAGGATGAGATAACTGCACCGGCTGAACCAGTGCGCGAACGCCAAAAAAACGTTATCACCAAGGTTGGTATTAAAGTATTTAACCTATAGTAGTAAGGAATTGTTTGTATGGCAACGTCTGCATAAACACGCATATACATCATTAATGATTGCTTTTCATACAAGCCGGTAGATGATAACAAAGGAAATCTAGCATCTAATAGACCTAATACCCAACAAGCAATAAAAGATCGGAAATTAGCTGCTTTAATGGCAATGTATAAAACTTCTTCAATCAGGCATGTGATTCAGTCAGATACAATACATTTTCAATAAGATATTTAAGTATCTAAACTACTTTGCACCCGTATTAGCGAACAGGAGTACAAGTGATAAGTGTATAAAATTTATAATATCAATATCCATTGTATCTATATTCTAAACTTTATTAACTTAAATAACATATGTATCAATAATATACGTGTATGATGCACTATTATACAGACAATCAGAAGAAATAAATTGGAAACGACGGTTTACTAATAGTTCCAAGATACCAAATTCAACTAAAGAAGTTAAACCCGATCTTGTAACATTAAGATTAAATACTCCCAGATATGAATTTAAAAAAGCTGATTGGCAGGTACATTAAATACAAAATCGTTTAGCGAATTGTTTATACATTAACAATTTAGATTTTATTTTAGTATCATAATTTGAAATTTATTACAGGAAATAGGACGAATTTGGGAAAGAAATCAGAGTCGAACGTCTCGAAACACCAGTGGTAATACACCTTTGTAAGTATACCCGTAAATGACCTCGCATAATTGAATCCTTTCATTTTATTTTGTAATTAACCTTAATAATTATTTCAATTTATATTCTCACACCCTTAGCTGTAGCGAAAGTCCTCGCTCGTATCAAATTCCAGGATATAGGTTAGTAAATTTATAGTACTAACTACTTCTGATGTATTTAAACAGTACATTACAGTGTTAAGTAATATTTTTCGGTTTAAAGCGGTCACATTAGCGGATATGCCGATAGAGACGATGCTGCGGTAACATTTTCGCCACGAAGCTTAGTAAGATCGCAACCTACTACACCACATGGTAGGACGACAAGGTTTGCGTTAAAAATATACAAACTGATAAATGTAGCTCCTTATCCGGTATTTATATTTCGAAATAAGTGCTGAACAAGGTTTTTACAATAAAAATTTTCTCTCTAATACTTTTACTCCAGCTGGCCAATGATGCCCGGATATTCAGGAAATATTATGTGGCCTGAATTTCGCAAGATGTCGAGTACTTCCACGCTACCAACACCAACTACAAGTCTAGTTCATCGGTTGATAAAATCTTACATATTGTATATTGTCGTATCTATGCACGGTAGTCATACGAGTAGACAACTTGCATTTACTTTTTAATAATGAAATGTTTTTAAACTCTAAATACAAATTTAGGCCTTTTCCGAAATCCTCATCAGAATCTCCAGAGTTTGGCCACCAAGCTCCAATGTCCAGCATGATTACATTAACTTCACCACATAATCCATTTAATAGAATCGATAGGGAACCATTCTTACAATCAGCTATGTTTGTCCGAAAGTTGCATCAATCACCGCCACGGGTAGAGCGCTTAGTACTAGAATAGTAATGAACTTCATAATTCATGAAGAAATCTTATAACGAGGTTTCAGAGATTAAATTGCCAAGGCAAAATGTATGAAACTTATTATCGCATATTTTGAATAACTGAGTAAAATTCATATCAAATGAAAGAAAAACGTAAATTACTTTGAAATACCATTTATTTTTTAATACAATACATACATATATTCGCACACTTATATAATAATGTATTTATATATAACTAATAATAAAAATCGTCTTATACAAGAGTCACATGTTATTAATAGTTGTACAGTATCATGTATAAAGAAGTTAAGTTTTTCTTAAGCCAATGTAGTAATCAAATCGAAAAAATATTACATGCAATGTTAATCATCCAAAATCGCTAATTGCTATTTACTATTACTTTCATATCGATATAATGCAGAGTCTACACTTAAAATTCGAATTATAATGTCGAATGACCTTGCCAAAGAAGTTAAAAATATATGTCTACTCTTTTTTATCCTTCTTTGCCAATACAGTAATGTAAGTGAAAATATGCAAATACTACTCCTTGAAGATAATATTAACAGACCATCTCGATCTCATAACAGATCACAACGGTAACGCTAAATATGTTAAACTTAATCGGCATCACTCAGCCTTAGCCCTTCTTCGAAATATCCATAGTTCTCTTCTTCGTAGTTACCAATATTACAGTAATTATCCTCACTGTCATCGGAAGAATTTCCACCGTCCGATGATTCTAAAACATAAAGTATTAAAAATCTCCGATTATCAACAAATTCGAAAGAAATTGAAATATTATAAGATTAACTAACGATTGTTAGATTATATCTCGAAGCAATATAAAATTAAACACAGATAAATGATCGCAATATTGCAATTGTCGTGTTGAACCCCTAGTGGATAAAATCTAACGAAGCAATTCTAGCATTTATCCTATAAATTTATGACACTCTACATATGTTATATGTTGACTATGGATTGTACTTTGCTTATATTTACACCAATAAGATAACAAACATACCTTCCCATAAATTTAAATCATCCTCATCTGGATAATCATTTCGCCAATTGCTTTCGTCATTAGAATCATCTTCGTCATAATAGTGTTCATTATACTCTTTATCTTGCTGCCAATGATCCAACGTTAATAGTTGTTCATCGAAGCTCTCAAATTCTATCGTATTGCCAAGACTAGTGAATTCATCATTCGTTCTATATGCGCTATTTCGGCACCAATACAAATCATACGTATACTTAGCCTAAATTGACAGATTGGAAGAAATAATACTTCATTTGATGAGCTACGACTTTCATATTCATTTAAAACAGGACACAACATCACATTCTTTGATCGGTGCAAACAAAATTGTTTTAATACATTGGCTATCTCAGCCTATGGGCATACAATTCTTTGTAAGGATAAATAATTATCTACTTTGCAATCCTAAATGATATCTATTCTAACAATGAACAAATGTTAGGTGAACTGCACAGCAAAGCAATCATTGAATTATAAGAACTTACATTTGATTGTGACGATTCCTCCGATTGCTGTATTGTCATTTCTACTCCATTGCAAGTAATACCACTTTGCATAGCGTAATCCCTCCCTTCAACTTCACTTTGTAACTCCTCTACATCTACAATTTCGCAGTTTCCGCACCCTTGATCGATATTCCCACCATTTGATACAATATCTTCAATAGATTGTTCTAGTAAAAGGTTAAATCAAGTGAAGAATGGATAATTTAAGTGAATCATTTTAGCACATATTGTATAACATGCTATGTTGTAAAGTCATATTGCAGTACATCAGGACATCATTAACCACAGGTATATCAAATTTATATAATAACTAGGTAATGATATTTACTACATGAAGGCAGACCTTGAATAGCGATCTCCTTTAATTTAGCAATTCGATGAGAGACAATTTTAAATCGTTGTTTCTCTCGATGTAATAGTTGCTCTTTCTTGAGTTTTGATTTTATAGTTGCGATGTCGACCTTGTGGTGTTTGGAGAAAGAACGCTTCCCTTGACTATTGTTTAGCTGGTCTACAACAGTTGTTTTAACTAATTTATCTTCCGTAGAATTGACGGTGCCAATAAATTGAAATAACTTGTGTTGATTCAGCGTAGGTTCCTTAAACAATAGCGAGGCACCTTTATCACCCCGAGGATTATTCTTATTTTTGCTATGTTTACTGGCTGGTTGATCAATCGCTGCAGATTCATCAGATAGATCTGATATCTTTCTTTTTATTCGGATTAACACTGACGTGGGTAACGACTGCGATTGACAGCTACTATTTCCATCATTAGTCGCCATTACTTCTGGTATCTTGTTACTCATAATGGGTTGATTGGCCGGCCGTTCAATGATTAAAATTGACTAACAATGTTTGATTTATACGACTACAGTCTGCGAATCGATCTCATCAAAAGCGATGTAATATTACAGGTCAATTTCGATGGAATTCACTTAATTTAGCTAGTTTACTGAATGGTGCACCAAAAAATTGCACAAACTACAGAAAAAAGTCAAGGAATAGTTAGATACAGTATAGTGTAGTTCTACTAAAAAGAAGTAAAGTGTGATTCGTTCATCAGCTGATTACTGCAAATGCGCTCTATTCTATCTGCTATTTTGAATCCATTGACTGTAATCGATCAGTTTGTATGGCATAATCGATGACGTCTAAGATCCACCATTTCAGCATACGTTAGACTGTTGTTTTCTTGAAACGATGCAATACTTGTAAGCTTACGTCCTAAACTTTAGCGACCAGCAGTCAGGCTTGTTTGAATCAGGCCACCATTTCCTCTGGCTATGGATAAGCTTAATGGATTTCAACCACTAGTTGTCTTTAGGTACAGCAGACTAAGTTATGGACCTACTGTGCCACTCAATTTTACCGGCAACATTCAAAATTGAAATAAATCTTGTCAGAATTTGGTGTTGTAGTCCAGGTGGAGAGTACAGTACAGTACTGTACAGTACTGTCCAGTAGATTACAGTGTACAGTGTACAGTACGTGCTATATTGTACTGTACACTGTACAGTGCGTGTCGTCACATGTGTACAGTACTGTACTCACAGTGGCAATGTACAGTGCACACCTCTACAGTATCCGGAGTACCATGTACTGTAAGTGACCGTGTACAGTACTGTACTCCAGTCACGGGTGTTCCAGTACAGTATCGACTACTGTCGAAAACGGGTACTCTACTAGGCCAGTACTGTACAGTACTGTATACTGTATGGAACTGTATGCGAATAGTTCTGATGGTTAGGATGAGTATGAATTGGAGGTTACCTTAACCCTAACCCCGGGAGAGCGCGTCGATTGATTGCGAATTCACTTTGCCACAGCTTTGTTCTGCAAGAGATTTCAACTTCAATTCGAATGCAACCAATGGCAACTCGCTACATGCAAATGGTATCATGCAATGATAATATTTCTATTACTGTGTTGATGTCAATGACAGAAAAGAATTAGAAACTGGTAGACGAGTACCTTCTACGAATCTGCACTTTTGCAAGGCAATACGAGTCGTACAAATTGCTTGCCATGCGTTTTACTGCTATACATCATACAGTAAAAATAAATTAATTATAAGTGGATCTACTATCATGGACTAGCTAATTGCATTTACATTTATCAATCAATTTCCACTGTAGAATGATTTACTCTGCTTTAAAATATTTATATTATACCGTACACACACATAAGATTTTAAATAAATTAAGATTGAATTATGCTGCATTGTAGGTTAGTCTTCATGAATTATACGTAGTATGAATGGCTAAATATGAGTTTGCTAACGTCATATGCAATTTATCCACTAATGCCCGTAACCTATCAATAGCACTACCAATTAATTAACATGTATCAATTGAACCGCTAGTGGCTTAATTTTCAAGTCTTAACGTTGTATATACACAGTACTGTACGTTATGCGACAAAGATACAATACATACCGTATCTGATTTCATTAGTCTGCACTTACAGTAATGAATTATTTATATTAATTACCTCGCATGTCTTAATGATCGTTGTAAATGTGCTAAGCAAAAAATCTTTATACTGTAATAATTGCTATTGATAACTTAATGCTACAATAGAACTCAATTTACTACTGTCACTGACCTAATGCTAATCGTTTAATTGACTGTACAGATGGAGTTTCCAACTTGTTAATGCATAAAATTGATCTTAGCACGCGATTATTACATAGCCAAAACATCTACTGTATAGTTATATAATAATTTGAAGCGCATCCGCTGATGAAGTCACTATTACTATGTAATTAATTGATCCATTTAGTCATTGTGATCAATGCCTGACTTATCGCTGATCAGTTTATCATAGGTCAACCTTAGTATCAATGTGTTTATTGTTATGCTTATATGTTTATAGAAATAAGTCGTTTCTACTTGCAAAGCCTTATCAAATTACAGTACTTATTTCATTTGCAGTATGTGTATACTATAGTACATATATATCCTAATGGTTGTAATTTTAGCCCATATCTGATCAATCGATTGTAATGCAGCATATGAAGGTACCTTTGCTGGTGTCAAAATACTTTTAGCATTAGGTTGCACAGTTCAATATCAAAAATCTAAATAGATTCTGTAGGTTGCCTATCCAATGATATTATTTTATATGTGAACATAGAACATGCATATAAAGTGTGTTTTGATGAAGACATCAAAAAACTTCAGTTCTACGGATAGTTTTATATAGTGATTACTTATAAAGTGAACGCTGACATGCACGTGTAAATTCTCGTACCAAAACCATAACATCGTATATTGTAAAGACATTCTTCTACTCCTGCCCACTAAAGACAACTGAATATGAAAATATAAAAACGCAAATCCTATAGATTAAAATATATTTTTAATATCATAACAATTTTCAATGTACATCCGATTATTTGACATCTAAGTTTAATTTATGGTCTTAAATTTTTCTATCATGTGAGCTCGGATGTACAGCACAGTAGTAACAGAATTTGACGAATGATTAACATAGATGTAGATAATCATATAGTGATTACTGGTGCATTACTACTTGTAGGTTCTGTTTTTGTCTAATAATTCTGATATGTCTAACACTTTCACTAACGCTTATACCCTTTTGTTCATAGTTTGCAGAATTCCAAGAACAATGTGTGGAAAATGTAAGAAAGACCTTTCCTTAGTCCAGTCTCTAAAGAATTTATTTAGTTAAAGTAGCTTATATATTGTAGCATAATTAAAATATTATTATTTATATCATTTGCTACACTCATTATTTTTGTAGGGTGAGAAATTAATCAAAGAGTTTTTTCCTCAGAGAGTAATAGAATTAAATGAATTCTTAAAGGTATAAACTAACACATTCTTCGTTATGTAAGGTTTTAATTTTCAAACTGCAATGCTGCAGTTTGAAAATACATTGCTAACCACTACATGATATAATATACATTAATCACTCTATCTGCCTAACGAAACGACCTTGGAATATATTTTTTGTTTAAAGCTTTACAAATTTGAAAAGAATATGCTAATACCAATTTAATAGTTGGATTCTTCTTTGTCCTAACGTAGACGGAACGTTTATCACTGAACCCGAGTAAAATTCATTCTAACATTGAAGAATTTACAAAGGTAGACTACCGAATATCAGAAAATGAGACTTTTCAGGTTGGTAACCAATTGTCCGTAAGTTACGTATGGTATTGCTATGAAATTCTTTATTACGATTTATACTGAAGTTGTCGTAATTAATCTTATCGTTGGTAGGGCTCTGCGAAAAGAGCTAGACTAGAGAATGATACGGATTCGAAATCACAGGGTAACATTATCTATCAATCGAGCAGTATTGTATCCCTAATACAATGGTGCTACGTTAGTGTTCTAAACAAGTTTTGTATTATTGTGATAATTAATTAATTCCGTATCTACTGGTATTCTTAGTGCCAGTAATTCCTTGTAACCGATTGCTAGAAGAATTAATCGATGATATCAAGCCTCAAATTCGTACTCTCATTGAAAAATGTAACTGCGTACGTATGAATTTATAAAAAGATCGCTCTTGATAATCCAATTATCTCACCAAAAATCTGAAATAAGAATTACATTAATAGGTAAAGATATGGATACAATTGCTAATTCCGAGAATCGAAGATGGTAACAATTTTGGAGTGTCCATTCAGGTAAATTTATTATTGTCTGTTTAAAAGACTAATACGTTGGTTAAAGTTCATGCAGTATCAGCAATAACATCAGTAATACTAAATCAGTCATATGGTATACTATAAAAAATAGGAAGATATACTCGGCGAGGTTGCGCGCATTGAAAGCGAAGCAGCTGGGTTTCTGGATCAGATTTCTCGGTAAGTCCCACAAGATTCTATCTCATCTATAATTTACGATGAATATAAATACTTTGTTAACTCATGGCTGTATCAATATGAAATATAATTGTAGATATTTCATATCAAGAGGCAAAATGATATCAAAAATCGCTAAATATCCTTTTATCGTAAGTATTAAGTGTTGTTAAATAGAAATAAAATTCATTAAAATTTGTAAAGGATTGCTGACAGCTGTAATTATACTTTGACGATCATAATCCGTATATCAAAACTATTCACCAATTCTTTCAAATTGTAGAAAGATTACTCTCGTTGCATATGTGAACTAGATGAAAAAGAATATCTGAACCTACGTTTAACATTATGCGAACTAAGAAACCATTATGTAAGTGTGGAGTTGTTATCACGCCCGATAATAGTACATTGTTAACATTATTTCTATTTATTTCCTTTAGTGTTGCTTGCATGATACCATCACGAAAAATATAGAAAAAATTAAAAAACCAAGATCTGTCAATACTGACACGATGTATTAAGTGAATTGCAAAGATTTCGCCCATTTATATCCTTTCTGTTCTTGTATTCATATAGCCTTTTATGTACTATTCTCGAAAACCATAAGTAGTAAGCAATTATAAGATATTAGTACCATTATTCTTCGTAACCATTGGCGAGATTGAAATAATATGTATAAGGATATTTAGTTAATAGGGCTATCTAATATGCTGTTGCGCTTTACATGCAACAGTTAGAATAAGATAATGTGGTCTAAGTATTAATGCGTTATCAGTTTAAATTAGGATTTATTCAATATGCATTACAAGATAATGTCAATCTTGTATTATAAATCATTGCATGCTTCACTTTTTGAACAATTTTTGCGATGATTTATCTTCACAGTTTATGATACTATTATATAATTTATCGACTTTGAATGCTGTTGTAAATTGAGTGCTTGATACTGCAGTATGAGGAATAAAACGACTGTATGAAAGCATTGTTTCATTTTGGTATATGGTAGAAACTAACGAAAAGTAAATGAGTTCAAAGTAAACATTAACAATTGTCTTTCTGATATCACAAATATCGTATGCTTAAATTTGGTAAGTAGTTCTACATGAATACTTTGACGCAATCAATACTTGACCAAGTGACGATCGAGTTAGCACATAACCTCGAAGATATTCTT